CTAAGTAGAGAAATGAATTACTACAGAGAGAGGCATTGTCCGAGGCGGAGGACACCCCTCTTTGCCTGATTCCTCCGCCTGATGGTTACAAAATACCGGTGCAGTGGCCGGAGAGCTTGCATAAGGTATGGTTTAGTTCACTGTGTATATTATGCTACTGAATGATCTCAGTACTAGTACAAACATTTAAGCAATTTTAGCCTGAAAATTTAGACATCAGTCTCAAATGTAATTTTAAATCAGATTACTTACTTTCGTAATATTGTCATTTACATGTGATTTAAAATTCAGTCCCCCGCAAGAATTTTTTTGTTTTTTTTTTGGGGGTTGCGGAAGGTTGAATTGGATACTAGATTTTAGGAATAATAGCTTATTTGTAAAAAATGAATGCATGTAGAATGCAATTTTTAAGAGTACCTAGCAATATGTCCCTTTTAATGCCAAAAAAAAAAAAGTTGTCCCTATATGAGACAGAACATATCATTCTGTTTCTGAAAAGATAAGGACGCACAACCGCTTTCCTTTGTTCTTCCTCACTACTGAATAAACACAAAGGGCGCATGTGGTTTGGTTTGTAGTTTTGAATGGGGACTTCCTGTTTTCCACGATTTTTTCCTCAGACTCTGTACATATAATATTTAATGTCTAGATCTTTCTGGGCCCTCGTAAATTAAATTTCCCCCAGCTGATATAGGACTTGACTTCAAAAAAGATCTTAAAACAATTTAGTTGCTGGGTATGCATGGGAAGTATTAGATATAGATATATTAGTTTAGGACCCTAATCTATTAGAAGGGTTGCTTGTCATTATTAGGGATATTTCATTCGTTGTTTCACTCCCTCACCATCACACCCTTGGTTTGTCTTGGGGTTCATTCACTAGGCTTATCGTCACGTTGTTACCTGGCTGAGTTCATTTTTTCAACCTGAGTTCATCAGTGTTCGCCTTTGGGTTTATTGTCACTGTGTTCACAAATATTTTCTTCTTATTTTGTGATTTTGTGTGTCATCTGTTGTGATCATTATTAATAAAAGTTTGATATTCTTTTCATCATCTTCGTGGCTTATTTGATTTCCAGTAGTTTTTCTTCTGACCAATTGATCCGTTTATCTAATAGTATTAAGTACAGTCTGTGTAATATGCCACAACAACTTGCTACACAATAAGATTGTGGAAAGGTTACTTACTACTGATGGATGAAATCTGAGGGTCACCACCAGTACTACTGCAATTCATATTTTGACAAATAATAGATCCACTCCTAACATTAGGATCTAACTCAATTATGTTCTTGTGTGCTAAAAACTATATTACATGTGTTTGAGTCCTTGACCAAAATAAATATTTTATTACTGGAAATATGCGAGTATTGTTTCTGGACACCACTGGAGTACCCAAAATGAACTGCTCTGCAAGCTGGGGAGATAATGGGAGGAACACTTTTATTTATTCTCTGTTCTCATTTGTTACTGAAAATTATTACTCATATTTTATCTTCTGATGAAGTGTAGTTTTTCATTCATGGTGAGATTGGAATTTATCCTGAATTTTAGAAAATAATTTCTTTTTTGTTAAAATAAGAATGGCTGTGGCATTTAAAATTTTGAATTAAAAAATTACTTCCTTTTATGAGGAAGAAGAATATGGTTCTGGTTTGAGTAAGAAGAATATGGTTGTGTGAGAAACTAAATTTTTTGGACAAGGCTGCAGAATCATTTGTCTTTATTCTTTCAATACATAAACACATTTGAGTCCCAAAAAAAAAAAAAAAAGAATACAGAAACACATTTAGTCAAAAGCAGCTTGGGTTTCAATTTTTAGTTTTGAATGGGACTATTTGTTTGGTTTATTTCATATATTTTCTAAAGGTCCCGAAAAAAGTTTTTAACCACTGGATTATTATGAGGCCTGATGAATTGAAGATTCCCAGTTGATGTGGTACTTCACTTTAACGAGAGATCAAAATACAATTTAATGTTCTGCTTATAATCTTGTCACATCTATCTAATAGTGTTAATACATTCTATGTAGATATGGCATAGTAACATGCCGCACAACAAGATTGCTGACAGGAAAGGTCACCAAGGATGGATGAAACGAGAAGGTCCGCACTTTATATTCCCTGGTGGTGGCACAATGTTTCCAGATGGGGCAGTGCAGTACATTGAAAAACTTGGTCAATACATTCCAATAAATGGTGGAGTTCTGAGGACTGCTCTTGATATGGGGTGTGGGGTAGGATTTATTACCTACTTCGCTTTAAGACCTTGCAACAATTTATTACTATTTAACATGCACGTATTTTCCTTGATTTACAGGTTGCCAGTTTTGGAGGATTTCTACTGTCTCAAGATATTTTAACTATGTCCTTTGCTCCAAGAGATTCACATAAAGCACAAATACAATTTGCTCTGGAAAGAGGAATACCAGCTCTTGTTGCTATGCTTGGCACTCGCAGGCTCCCATTTCCAGCATTTGCTTTTGACTTAGTGCATTGTTCGCGGTGTTTGATTCCTTTTACAGCCTACAGTAAGTTATTTGTTGCAGCTCACCTTTTAATGTCTTGCAAGCCTCTAAACTCTTATCACACTCCTAATGCAGAAAATCTGCCTTGCAGATGCAACTTATTTTATTGAAGTGGATAGATTACTTCGCCCTGGTGGGTATTTAGTCATCTCTGGTCCCCCTGTACAGTGGCCAAGACAAGATAAAGAATGGTCCGATCTCCAGGGTGTGGCAAGAGCTTGTGTTTATGAACTGATTGCTGTGGATGGCAACACTGTGATCTGGAAAAAGCCTGCTGGAGATTCGTGTCTCCCTAACCAAAATGAATTTGGTCTGGAGTTATGTG